GTGTGTTGATGGGTAGGTGTATGTTGGTATGTATGTTGACACATCAGCATGTATGTGTTTTGTTGACATGTGTGTCGATGTGTGTATACGTGTTGGAGTGTGTGTTATGTGTTGACATATCTGTGTGTTGGGCCATGATATAACTGTGTTTATTTTGTGGCTTCTGTAATAAGGAGACCAGTTAGTAGCAGGGTCAACACCTACAACTCCTTTCCTGCCTGGTGCTGGCTGGCATCTGGTGGCAAAGACACGGTAGGGCCACTCATCAGCAGGGCCACCAGGATCCCGCTAGAGGGAAATGGGAACAAGGACCTGAGACCAGAAAACTCTGGGAAAGGACTTCTGGGCAAGAGAAGAAGGCATACTAGTGCTGAAGGAGCCTGGCCTGTCGGGACCGGGCTCTGAGCAGCCACAGCAGTCTAGCCAAGGGGGTTTCCTGCCATGAGCTCTGTGGTTTCTTTCAGCTTCAGCCTCCTCTTGGGCCAAAAGGGGCCACTTCCAGAGAGGGGCGTGCCTGGGCAAGGTGAGAAAACAGGAGGTCACACCCTTCCTGCCAGGGAGGGCGGAGGCCAGTGGGGCTGCAGTGAGAACAACCCAGCTGAGACAGACATACCACATGCCCTCCTTCTAGAGGATGCTTTCATTCAGGGGCTGTGGCAGAGACTTGGGCAGTGGTGAGGAGCAGACAGTATGTGTCTGTGAGAGCGAGTGTGAGCAGCTCTCTCTCAGTAGGGACACCTTCATCCAATGAGCATCATCATCCTGACAGCCCAGCCTCGGCCCTCGCATCAGAGACCCCCGGTCCTGGGTCCCACGGCTACCTCCTCTCACGCCTCTCAGTCAATAGCAGCACCTGCTCACAGAGATGCGGAGCAAAGGCTGCTATCAGTTTTCAGCTACAACAAACGAATCTACAGTGAACTGTGGTGTTTCTATGAACAATGTCTTTAAAAATGTTTGTTTGTGAGGCCAAAACAAAGAACTGCCAGCCACAGTTCACACCCCAAGTGCAGAAATGGGAACTCCATATGGCCTCCCACATTGTGGCAGGCAAGCAGGTTGCTGAGCTGTGCCCAGCTGCCTCCCAGGGTACACATCAGTAGGAAATTGACACTGAGTGTTGGGGCACAGGTGATCCAGTCGAGGCAGGTGCTTAGCCATGTCCTCCTGACTTCCTTGAAAGACTAGAGGAAGGGTCCCAGGGCCTGTAGCTCTCTAGGCCATACACAGCAATGGGTGCTGGATTCTTGGAGACTGAAACCTGGGCTGTGCTGGACAGGCGCTGGCACTGTCTCTTTCCTGAGGGTCTGTGCTGAGATCCACCCTGCACTGGCTTGGTGCCACGTTAGGGCGGTCAGGGAGGTCCAAGCTGCACAAGAGAGAGGGAAGAAAGTTCTCAGCTGTGCAGCCAAACTGAGGGCTTTGCACACCCTACACCCTGCCCCACATCATCCACACTGGAGGTTTGCAGGCCCTGCCTCCCCCCGCCCACATCACTGAGGACCAGAACCCCACATCACCCACATTGAGGGCTGTGTACACCCTGCGCCTTGCCCCACATCACCCATGTTGGAGGCTTTGCACACCCTGTGCTCTGCCCACCGCCTCACATCAGCTACAGAAATGATGCTCAGAGGAAGCCACGTGCTATTAACCACACGTATGGTCCAGCTGTGTCAGGCTTGAGGTACAATTCCCCTGGGATTCCTTAGTTCACACTCCTGAGTGTTGCTCCCCTTTTCTTTGCTTTTCTTTAAAGATTTAATTATTTTTCTTGGAAAGTCAGATACACAGAGAGACAGAAAGGAAAATCTTTTATCTAATGGTTCACTTCTCCAAGTGGCTGCAGTGGCTGGAGCTAAGCTGATCTGAAGGTGCAGGATCCCAGGGCTTCGGGCCATCCTCGACTGCTTTCCAGGCCACAAGCAGGGAGCTGGTGGGAAGTGAAGCAGCCAGGACACAAACATGGGATCCCAGTGCATGGAAGGTGAGGATTTAGCCATTAGGCTATGGCGCCAGGTCCCACTCTTTTTCTGAGACACACAAGGCTGGTGTTTCTCAGTTGGCTGCCACCCTCTGGTCCCAGCTTCTTGGTGAGGATGAGGAGCTAGGCCAGGCTTAGACAGGCCAAGGCCAAAGTGTCCTGCCATTGTGCAGCACGAGGGCCAAGGTTAGGGGCCTGCCAGGCTCTAGAACAGAGTTTATGTCCAGTCAATCTTTTTTTTTTAATATAAATTTATATTTCATGACTATTTCTTTTTTTTAAAGATTTATTTATTTTTATTAAAAAGTCAGATATACAGAGAGGAGGGTAGACAGAGAGGAACATCTTCTGTCCGATGATTCACTCCCGAAGTGACTGCAACAGCTGGTGCTGCACCGATCCAAAGCTGGGTACCAGGAACTTCTTTCCGGGTCTCCCACGTGGGTGCAGGATCCCAGGGCTTCGGGCCATCCTCGACTACTTTTCCAGGCCACAAGCAGGGAGCTGGATGGGAAGTGAGGCTGCTGGGACCAGAACCGGTAACCATATGGGATCCCGGGGTGTTCAAGGTGAGGACTTTAGCCACTAGACCACGTCGCCGGGCCCCAGTCAATCTTTGTTAAATAAACAAATTGGTACAGATGCAGATACGCATTCACACACTGTGAACAGTGGATGCTTTGATGGCTGCATCGCGGCGCCAGCTCCCCATCTCTGCATCTTGAAGCATGTTTAGTATTACCCTGGGATCCCATGTGACCCTTCTGACGGGGGCTGCTCCTCTGGTCAGCAGCTTATGTGTCTGATCCCAGCAACACTCGTGTAGATACCTCTGGCTGCCCTTGTTCCGGCTCTTGGTTTGGTCCCAACAGGTTGAACGCCCTGGGTGCATTGGACACCTGTGACCCATGGGAACTTGTGAGCAATTTTATTGTAAGGGCCAGGGAGCCTTGGCAGAAAGCGCTCCCCTCAAACACAGGAGTGAACCAGGTTGTACCCGCATTTCACTCATTGGGATGACTTTAGGAAGAGAAACAAGCCCTGCGCTTCCCACCACAGCTGCAAGGAGGTGGTGAGGAGCTGGAGCCTGGCCTGCTGGAGACAGTTGCCCCCACATGGAGTCCCCACCTTCCTTCACCCACGTGATAGACCTGGCTGAGTCTGTGGCTTCTGGCTCCGATCTGGCCCAGCCTAAGCTGCAGCACACATCTGGGGGTGTGAGTTAGGGTATGAACAACTTCCCTCTCTGCCTCACAGATAAGCAAACTTTTCAATTAAATGCACATTAAGAAAAGTACCTATTTGGCTAGCTAGGGTCAGAAATCATAAATGAGGTTGATTGTGGCAAAGGCGGTCTTCTTCACAAGCAGGGTACCCAGCCGACCCCTGCAACTGATGAGTCTGTTCACTATCCAGGGTTTGATTTCATCATGAACTCAGACTGACAGGTGCCTGATTGAGTCAGTGTCCCATGGAAGCTCACCCAAGGTTTTGGTTAGCGAAGGCCAGCTGGGTGTGGGTTCCACTGACACTTTCCTGATTTTGCAGGCTCTGCACCACAACTCACAGCTCATCTGCACAGGTGGACTGCTACCCTCAGGGGCATCCTCACCTCTCAGCCTGTGCTGCCCAGCTGCAGCCCACCTGGCGCCCCAGGGATCCGGGTTGCCCTGCCCTCACCCTGAGGACTCACAGTTGCTGGGGCTGACCACATGGGCTTTCTTAGCTTCCTGCCTGGGTGTGTTGTGTGTGTCCACTCAGACTTCCCAGCTGAGATGTGGGTTGGGTCGCTGTGTAGAACTGGGCACTGGTGTGCCCTGCTGAAGTCCCCCCACATCTCCTGCCGACCCAGGGCTCAGAGCCCTCAGGCTGCCATGGGCACTGTCTGGACCTGGAACGCCCGAGGGAACCGTCTGCCTTTCAGTTGAGGGGCAGTGCCCAGTGCCGCGTAACTGAGTCATCTCTGGGTTCTTCACACACATCCTTTGCAGCCCGGTCACTGCTCTCCCTGGGTAAACTTAATCAGAATGTGGGCTGGCATGGTGACTATTCCACACCACAGGAAGAATGGTATGGACTTCAAGTGCTGATTCCAGTCTTGACCCCATCCAGCTCCTGGTGATGCACGTGGGAAGGCAGCAGTGATGGCCCACGTGCCTGTGCCCCTGTGCCCCTGTCGGAGACCCAGATGGAACTCCAGCCTCTTGGCTTCAGCCTGGTCCAGCCCCAGCTGTTGTGTGCATTTGGGCAGTGAATCAGCAGATGGGAGAGCTCTCTTTCTCTTTCCTGCACAGAGACAGAGTGGCCACTCTCCTGGACGAGTTCCTGTGACAGCTGGGGAGCTGGGGGCCCCGCAGTAGGGGCAGTGTCCCCCACATGGCCAGCCCAGGGCAGACAGTTCTCTGGGAGCACAGCCAGGGGTGGGGTGACCCGGTCCGGCTCCGGGGTCCACACGTGACCCTAACCTGACCCCGTCAGGCCAGGCGGGTTCAGCAAGGCGCAGCCCGCCTTCTGGGCTGAGTTGATGGCGGACAGGACCTGAGGTGGACGCTGCGTCCGGGGGACCCCCTCGGGGGCATCCCCACCTTTTGGTCGTCGACCACAGAGGGGCGGAGGCGGGAAAAAGCCGAGGCCGGGCCGCGTTCTTAGGACTTCCCGGCCTGTCTTCCCTTCCCCCTGGACGTCTCACTTCCATCCCAGAAGCCTCACGGGCGCTCACAGACGGTCCCGGCCGCGAGCGACGCCCCCTTCTCTTCCGCTTGGAGGGGCGCGGGTCGCCACGCCTGGGCCCTGCGACCCCGCCCCCGATGCCGCCCCGCCCCGGCCCGTGGCCAATGGGGAATCAGGGCCTGGGGGTGGGCGGGGTCTCAGCCACCGCCCTCTAGGGAATTCTACCAATGGGGAACGGGGCCCTGGGCGTGGGCGGCGCTCCCGCCCTCGCTGCAGCCCTCCGCCAATGGGCGTCCGCGTGGGCGGAGCCGGCGGCGTGCTGTGCACTGAGGAGCGCGCCGGAGCTCGGGGCGCGGGCGCTGGGCCGGCGGCTGCGGGCGCAGCATGGCGGTGGAAGAAGAGGGCTTGCGCGTCTTCCAGAGCGTGAGGATCAAAATTGGTGAGTGCTATGGCTCCGTCTGCCGCGCCCTCTCGCACGCTCGGCCCCCGGTCGGAGGGTCCGCAGCGGGAGTGCCCTGCATGGTGCGCGCTTCGGGCTAGGCCTGGGGGACCCTGGGAGCAGCCGGGGAAGGTGCCGTGTGTGCAGTGTGCGGGAGTCCTCTGAGTGCAGAAGTGTGCATGAGTGTGCACTGTGTGTGTGCAGGAATGTGCCTGTGTATACGGGTGTGTACCGTGTGTGCAGGAATGTGTGTCCCTGTGTATGCATGAGTGTGTGCTTGTGTGTAAATATGTGCGTATGTGCGGGAGTGTGTGTGTAAATATGTGGGTATGTGCGGGAGTGTGTGTGTGCCTGTGTGTACAGACATGTGTGTGCCTCTGTGTGTGTACTTGTGTATATCTGTGGTATCTGTGTGCAGGAGTTCAGGGGTGTGTGAGGGTGTAGGGGAGTGTGCTGCAGAGAGCCAGTTCAGGCCTGCCTGGGGACTTACACTTGGGATGTCCACCCGTGTTGAGGGCTCGGCATCTCCCCTTGCCATTGGCCCAGAAGCTTCCTTTCTGGGCAGTGTGCTGCTCTTCTTGTCTTTGTGTGGGCGGCAGCCAACAGGCTGGCTGGTGGTGTGTGGTGATGCAGCCTCTGGCTGGGTGCCTGAGCCACCAGCACCTCCCCTTTCCATTGAGTGCTGACCGTGGGAGCTTGTGGTCACCAGGGCCTGCCATTCAGGACTGCCTCTCTAGGCACCAGGGATGGTCAGCATGTCCAGAAGGGTGCCACTCTGGGCACCCTGCCCCCATCTGGAGAGACTGTACCACTGTCTTGGGACAGTGATGGCCACCCCCCACCCCTCACCCCCGGCCTTTCTGGAGTGACAGTGCACGCACAAGACGATCTGTGGGCCTGGTGGGTGTGCGGCTTGCCGGGGTGGGGTGGGTCCTTGTGGTCACTCTCTCACCTGCTCTGGGCTTTATACCTGTTCTATTCCCAGGGGTAAGGGTTGCTGGGAGCTTGTCTGGGAACTGTCACTGTGGGTGATGCCTGATGCTGTGAGGCGCTCCGGCCCGAATCTGCTTTATTTCAGTGTTCATGTCATCACTGGGACACTGTTCCAACGCTCAGCCTAGGGGCACTGCAGGTAGGGGTGGTGCTCTGGGTGCCTGCAGTGCCTGGGGGTGGGAGCAGAGACCACTCCTGGGAAGGCCTAGGGATGTGAGAGTGGCTGTGTCTCCCTGCCCAGGGAGATCAGGGGGTTAGCGGGGAAGCCACAGCCTGTGCCTCATGGGAGGATTCCGGTGCAGAACTATACCAAGGACTCAATTTTTTGTAGAGCAGCACTCAGCACAGAGCAGGAGTGAGAGAGGAGCAGCCCCCCTGGCCTGTCTCAGTGCTGGGGGTGGGCTCTGAAAAGCAGTGACTGGGCCGTCCCACGTGGGCACCCCTGCTCCCTCGTGTCTGGGGAGAATAGCTACAAGTGCTGTCCCCCTCCCATCTGCAGGGCTGGGAGGAGGTACATCCTTGTCCTTCTGGGGTGGGCAGTGCTTGGGCAACACAGCTGTGCGTGTGAAGGTGAGGCACAAACAAGTCTGAGCAGAAGCCGCTGGCTAAGTGTTGCTGAGTTAAAGGGAGGGAAGCGACAACCCTGCTGGGTCAGTGCACTCTGGCTGTGTCCTCCCTCAGGCACCTGGGTTCCTACCATCCAGGTATCCCTGGGCAGCCAATGCAGGAGCCTACCTCTGCTCTCTGCTCCCACCCCTCCACAACACCGCCATATCTTCCACCTCTGCACCTGGGGGAACTTGCTGGCCATGCTGCTTAACTCGATAATCATCCTTTAGGTGGAGTCTGCAGCCACATAATCCAGCAGTCACCACTGGTGCTGCTGTGAGACAGGCAAGCTTTTGGGGGACGCAGAAGGGGCACTGTTTTAGAATGGAACCTTGGCTTCCAAAACAGGCTGGAACGTTTGGTGCTCTGTGGGTTCATCCAGAGGCTAATGCTTGGGAAAAGGGAAGAATCTCTTTCACTTCCTCTTTCATCTTCCTTCCCCATTTTCAAACAAGATAACAGAAGAGAGTAGAACAAACTGGAACCCTTATGGTGCAGGCACTGCTGCTCCCCAGTCATCAGTCAAATCATTTGATTGATTTGGATGTGAATGGGCCACGGGGGGATAGTCATGTGGTCTGCATGTGCATGGACAGACAACAAGAGTGGTCACATGGTCTGTGTGTGCATGGGATAGGGCAGTGGTCACGTGGTCTGGGTGTGCATTCAATGCTCAGTGGCAATGTCTGGGTGTGCATGTGATGACCAGTGATAGTGTGGTCTGGGTGTGTGTGGGATGGGGCAGGTCTTATAGTCTGGGTGTGCATGGGCTGGGGCAGTGGTCATGCAGTCTGGGTATGGGTGGGCTGGGGTAGTGGTCATGTGGTCTGCATGTGTATGTGATGGGCAGTGGTAATATGGTCTGTGTGTGTGTGATGGGCAGTGGTCACATGGTCTGGGTGTATGTGATAGGCAGTGGTAATGTGGGCTGGGTATGGGTGGGCTGGGGCTTTGGTAATGTGGTCTTGGTGTATGTGCGATGGGCAGTGATCATGTGATCTGGGTGCGCATGGGCTGGGGCAGTGATCACATGGTCTGGTGTATGCAATGAGCAGTGGTCATGTGGTCTGGTTGTGTGTGCAATGGGCAGTGGTCACATGGTCTGTGTGTTTGTGCGATGGGCAGTGGTCATGTGACATGGTTGTGTGTGTGATGGGCAGTGGTCACATGGTCTGTGTGTTTGTGCGATGGGCAGTGGTCATGTGGTCTGGTTGTGTGTGCAATGAACAGTGGCCATGTGGTCTGGTTGTGTGTGCAATGAACAGTGGCCATGTGGTCTGGTTGTGTGTGCAATGGGCAATAGTCATATGGTCTGTGTGTGTAATGAGCAGTGGTCATATGGTTTGTGTGTGTGTGCAATGGGCAGTGGTCATGTGGTCTGGTTGTGTGTGTGATGGGCAGTGGTTACATGGTCTGTATGTGCGTGCAATGGGCAGTAGTGACCAGAAGAAGTTGTGCCCTTCTTGGCTGGTAATGCTTTCCTTTTCTGCAGTGTTTACTGTTTTAGAATACATCATCTTATATGTGTAACGTGTTTGGTAACGATAACAGTGTTTCTTGAGAAAGTACAGAAGTGAAGCGAGGCTTTGCATCCTGACTAGCGGGCTTCTGGGAGCTCTTTGGGTTGCCCTCCTGTCCTGCTGTCCAGCTATATTGTGGTGCCTGTGAGGCCTGGGGGATGTGCTCTCTCTCCACCTCTGCTGCCAGACTTCCTGTGATGCCTGGCTTCCTCTCTCTTCTCTCAATGTGTGATGCTTTTCCAAGTACACGTGTCACTCTAAAATCAGAGCTTGTCTTCAGACAAGGGATAACCACGGATATTGATGCTGACAGCTCTTCCCGGGGACACAGCGTGTCCCTGGCCTCTGGGAGCTTTAGGGGCTGGCCACCTCTGGCCCCACTTTGCTTGACTGCCAGAAAAGTGTCAGCAGAAGAGCAGGCAGAATGACAGGAAGGGGGACCTGGCCATCTGGACAACGTGAAGGTGACAATTGGAAAAACCTCAGCTTTCCTTGAATTTCTCTTGCGTGAGAGATGTCACACCTAAGTCTCAGGGTGCTACAGGTAGTCCTGAGGTGTCACACCTGGGTCTCAAGGTGCTACAGGTAGTCCTGAAGTGTTATACCTAGGTCTCGGTGCCATAAGCTTTGTCCTGATGTTTCATAAAGTACAAGTGGTTCTTCTTGTCTTCAGCGCCACCGCTTCTTTCAGACACAAGCACTGATGCACAGCACTCTCACAGGTCCATGCAGCACATGGCTCAACGGCCACATGTGGATCTTGGCATCAGGGAGTTGAGATTCTCCTGAGCTCTGGGAGGCTAAAATTAACTGGAATATTCTATTAACCAAACTCAGCAGGGTGGCTTGTATTATTTTCACAGCCAAGGATGATGTGTGTGACCAGCTCTGTCTGCCAAAGTCATAAAGGGGAGGGTCTGAGGGTCAATCCAGCCATTAGCTCCAGGGTCTGCTGAGCTCGTGTGGGGTAGAGGGAGGAGGCAGGCTTTGCGAGGGTGCTGTGTGTTTCATCCTATTCCATCTCAATTCTCACAAATAAACTCTCAGAGTTTTGTGACACTGAGGCTAAGAAATGAGTCTCACAATGAAGATGCCGCCAGTCACCCAGTATGTAGGTGCCCAACAGGAGTCCAAGCTATGGAATGAGCTGCTTCATGCCGTCTGCAGTCTCTGCCAACCTGGATTTGAAGTGAGCATCAGGAGGGCTGGGGAAGATAAGCAGCAACTTTAGGGACAAGGAAGCAGCCAGCACTGAGAAGGGAAGGAAGTGTCAGTGGCTTGCAGGCCTGGGCAGTGGGTAAGTCAGCAGTTAGGAGTGTCTGGAACCTGCCAATGGTCAAGGGGCTCAAGAATAGATGCTTGAGAGCAGAGAGGTGGTGATGGCAAGGTCTTGAGGGCCAGATGTGACTGAGCAGGGTCATTGATTTCTCTGGCCCTTTTGGTGCAGGGTGGGTGGATCTCTAGCTGCACAGGGTGACACTGTGGACACATTCAAATGGTAAATGGCATTAGGGTGCAGGGGGTCTCAACTTGCTGTTGTGCCAAAACATCGTCCTCACATGGTGGACTGACTGCATCCTCCGGGAGGTGCACATGGTGACTTAAACATGGAAGGCTGAGGATAGGGGGCAGGTGAAGGTATCAGCTGGACACAGTCACAAGTGAAGTGGGAGCTGCCCTAGTGTTGTTTGTGAAGCCTAAGATGTGACTTGTGCAAGTGGCACTGAAGGTTAGGGCAGCTGGGTGCTTGGAGATGGTTCTGTCCTGGCTGTGTCTCTGGGTTATGGAGCAGGAAGAAGCTTAAGATGGGAAGTGTCTCAGAAAGTTGCACCTGCAGCTGTCCAGGCTCTGAGTGTGGCCAGAGAACAGGAGGGGACT